GGAAAGTGTGCGCGTGTTGTCAGCGTTTGCCAAGCATCCATGTGTGTCCTCCTGGGACAGAAGATCCTAGAAGTAAGCCCTGGGACTGGGTGCCAGCTGCGGTCTTGTGCCTGACCCCTGACTCCTGTCAAAGACCCGCTGTCTCCACCAAGAGCTCCTGAGAGCTCGCGACGCCTGGCTGTGTGCAGCCTCAGCCTAGCTGGGTGCACACAGCTGGTCCCCTCCGTTCAGCTGGGACCCCCGGTGCAGGGCGACTGGGTTAGCAAGTTGCCATGGCCGCTGCGGCCCTCCGGTAGGGAGGCCAAGGCTGGGGTCCCGACGCAAAGCCACAGCGGCCGGCCAGGACTGGGGGAGCTAGAGATTCCTCTAGGGTCGCAGAGACCGCCCGCGGTGCAGATAGGGAACCGCTGTCACAGTGAAGCCGTGCAACCGCGGGGACCCGCTGAGGTCGCCCACAGCGCTGGGCAGGGGGCCGCAGGGAGGTCAGGTTTCGGGAGAACGCCCGCTATACCACCGGGTTCGGGAGATCTCCCCGGGCACAACCAAGCTCCCGCAGCCCATGCCCACCGCCACCGGGGTCGAGAGGCCCGCGCAGCGCCTACTCCCGGCGGCTGCAGCTGGGAACTTCAGGCAAAGTTTTCTACCGCTCCTGCCCGGGCCGCCCAGGGACTCGGAACCCGCGAGCACAAGTCTAGGCCCTGAGGTGACAGAGGCCGAGATGGAGGTCCCGGCTCCCGGCTTGTCCTGCGGGCTCCTGCGTGCGCTGCACGGGTCCTCGGGGCTCGGCGGCGGCTGCTTTGCCTCCGGCCATCGGCCAGCCCGGCTCACCCGGCTCACCAGGCTCACCCGCTAGGCGATGCTGGGTCCTGCACGCCCCTACCCGGCCCAGAAGCTCTCCTCGGACTCTGCCACCCGGGGGGCGCCTAAGTCCCAGGCGCCCCGGGAACGGCAAGGAAGGCCCGCTTACCTGAAAACGTCTCCCCGGCCGCAGTTAGCAAAAGTCCAGCCAAAGTCACCAGGCAAGTCTCAAGTGTCCTCATGGTGCTGAGTGCGCTCCGGGCCGCCTCGGAGCGGCGGAGGCCGGTAGACGCGGGAAGCCGAGGGGGACGCGAGCCTAAACCGCAGGCTGTCAGGGTAGTCGCTACAGCAGCGAAACACCAGACCCCAAAGTGGCAACAGTTGCACAAGTCCGAAGTCCCGCGGTTCCCCGGCGTGGGGACCGTGTTCTGGGTCCTCTTGCCCTCCCGCTGGCCCCCGCTTGGAGTCTGGCGCCGCCGGGAGAGGGAGCGGAGGGCGCGTCCGCCGAGCCCAAATCCTTGCTGGGATCCGGCGCTGCGCCCGCCTAAGCGCTGCCCCTGCTCGGGACCAAGCCGCCCGCGGCGCCGTGGCCGTGGCTGTGGCCGTGATCGCGCGCTTGCAGCCCGCCGCCTCTCCTCCCGCAGACCCAGCCACCTCCGGCGGCGGCGCGCCGATGGCCGAGCCCACGCCGGCTGCGCGCGGGGCTCCTGCTCCGCGACTGACTGGCGGTGCCCCGCAGGCCGGCTGGAAGGAGCCCACGTCACGGCCGGACCGGAGCCGCCGCGGCCCGCTAGAGGGCGCGAGCGCCCGTGTCCCCGGCCCGGGGCCAGCTCGGCCTGCGCGGCGCCTGCGGGCTCCGTGGGGCGGCCACCGCCAAGATGCGGGCGGGACCCAGCGGGCAGGAGCAACCGCCCGGGGCGCCACCCTCGACCCTAGCTCGCCCCTGCAGCGCCTCGGGTTTCCCACACTGACCTCAGGGACGGGGACCGCGCCCCAGCCAGAAGTTTGTCCCGGGTCACCGGCGGCGAGGAGGAGTTGGAGCGCGCCAGGCACGGGGCGGCTGTGTTCCCGGCGGTGGCTGCTGGCTTGCCAGTGTCAGGAAGGAGCGGGAGCCGCCGGCGCCTTGGGCCGCTCGATCTGCAGCTTGCAAGGGGTACCGCACGCCTCTGTGCCCGAGCCTGGCGCCCGGGAAGCCGAACACGCTTCTGCCGCTCCTCTGCGTTCTGTGGCCGCTAGTGGGGCCCGGAGCTCGGAAGGCAGCAGTTGCATGGAACCAGGGGTTTGGCAGAACTGGTGATTTCTGTGTCTGGTGGAAATGGAGGGTGAATCAAACAATGTCTTGAAATAATTTTTTAACTTGGGATCCGAGGTGACTGTTAAGAGAACCAGAACGCTACCATGATTAAGTTTAAAGCAAAATTCTGTGGGGTGCGTGTTTCTTCATCTTGTTCAGAGTAACCCCACTGGAGCACCTGTAGGGCTAGTTACCAACCCAACTGCAGGCAATGTTTAAATTAGGATCGCGATCGCAATTTGTATTCTAACTGATAACATGCAAGTAGGTGAGTGCCCAGTACCCGGGAGCCTGGAGCTCCCCCCACCCCCACCCCGCCCTGGTTGCTTCTCCAGGAGGATCCTCTGCACAGCTGTCACTTGTCTGTGTTGTTTTGAAGGCCAAAGACATAAATGAACCCCGCAGGTCTGTTGGTGAAGGTTCTCCAGTGGGGCCCACAATCAGTCGATGATGACTTTTGCTATCATCTCCCAGAGCAAATGTGGACACCCAGAGGACTTCTGTGTCTGCCAGGCCAAACGCATTACCGGTATTTTCTCTGGGCATTCTGTTCAGGAGGTCCCTGTGAGGCCCTTCCTGTAGATGTCTCCACGTTAATGACTTGCTTAACACCATCTTACATCACCGTATTCACCTTTATCCGATAATGAGCCTGCTGGGCTTATCCTGAACTAAATTCTGAAGTCTCGAACTTACTCCAAAAGAATCAACAGGTGACAGAGGTCTAAACTGCAACCTGACCTTTTTGTCAAAACTATACTTAATGTCTCAAATTTGCGTTTCGAAAGTGAATGATGACAGAGTCCCTCCACCCTCAACATTTTGATACTGGTAGGAGCATCCATAAAAGGGTGGGGGGGAAAATGTAGCCTCAGTGTTTCCAAGAATCTTTAAATTGGGAGAAGAGTTTGACATCAGGTGAATTTCATTCATCCTGTGTTAATGCTTTGAATCAACCTTCAGCAACCACTGCTTTAGGCAGATGATGGTACCCAACCAGGAGACCACAATGAGGACAGTGTGCCTCTGTGGCCATGGCCATCTGGCCTCAGTCCTCTGGGTCCCCCTGGATTTGGGTATCCAATTGCTAGGATAGAAACCTATCCTAGAACTCTGAAGAATCCCTGTTTCTTCCCTCATTACTTAAAGCCTCAAGCCAGCTTGGTGATTTCAGTTGTCCCTGTGTTCTTCCAGGTGAAGGTGCTCAGGGAACTGCTCCATTTCCCTGCCATTCACATTTCAAAGACTGGTGGGAATTTGTCTGGAGCCTGCTCTGATTCCTGGTGGGGCTTGCCAGCAGCCTCCTCTGATGCCTGCTTATTTGCTGTCCCTTGCAGGTGACTGCTCAAAGCCACCTTTGGTCTAAAGAAAAAGAAAAATAGGTAGTCAGGACTCCTCAGGGGGATAGCCCAGCAGGAATCTTCCCCAGGGGATTTTGTCTTTGACTTGTGTTTTCTGCTGAAGAGATTTCTCTGTTCAGTCTAACCACCACTTGTCACTCTGTCCTCTCTGGGGACAAAGTTGACATTTGCAGAGTTGGTTGGCCAACGTGAGGAGTGCTGTCAGGCCAGCTTCTAAGATGAGTGGGTTCTGAGAGAATAAAAATGAAAGCCCACTGAGCTGGTGTTTTCAAAGATTAATAAACCTGGCAGAGGTGTTGTCCTAATACAGCTCGAAATAGAAGAAAGAGAACCAAATTGCGGCATAAGAAAGCGTGTGGGTTCTTTCTTTCCATTTCTTTTCTTTTTCTTCTTTTTTTTTTTTTTAAAGAAGAAGGCATTGGTGGGGATTGAACTCAGGGCTTCAAATACATTCTGCACATGTATGTATAGCTTGGTGACACTCAGACCCTCCAAGACCGGGGAGAAGGACACCATCTGGGTTCATTAGTCAGCAGGGACCACTGGTTGGGCTGGACAGGGACACCACCTTGACCACAGTGATTCTACTTCTAATTCTGCTCCAGATCCTCAAAACTCAAAATGTAAATGAAAACGGATCCGACCTCCCCACAGCTCTTCTACCCAGACTTTGGAGGTCAACCACAGGCAGAAAGTTGCTAAGTCATCCCAAGTATCTAGGAGGGAGGGATACCTCAGCAGCCACTTAAGAGTGATCCAAAGGAAACGAGATTCGAATTGCTCTTATGGCTCTTCTTTTTCTCTCTGGTCCCCCCTGAAATAATAACTCCCCATTTTTAGGTTTTTGTACAGATCACGAAAGTGTATTGTGATATAAGTAGAAAATGGAAATGTGTGGTGCATACAGGTCACACAACAAAGCAAGGAAGGAGGGAGGAGATAGTTCTGGAAAACCCCCAGCTTGCACAGTAGTATTCTTTCTCAAAGTCCCATGTAAACTCTGAGATGGTGGGCCAAGGTGATTCTTTATTATGATGATATCTGATTAATCAGGGGGTCTTAAGCACCAGTATATACTAAATCCTGGATCTCATCTTTTCTTAACTTAAGGGACCGTGTGAGTTCAGGGGTAGCAGAGGGGACGCTTTCACATGGCATGCGAGTCCTTGGACTCATGTGTACTTACCCGTGCAGAGTCTTCCACTTGCTGGGCTTTGGGCTCTTTGTTTATTTGATGCATTCCTGGGGATCACACCCAGGGCCTCACCTATGCTTGAAGATCACACCCAGGGCCTCACCTATGCTTGACAAGCGCTATACCTCCAAGCTTCACCCCCAACCCCTATCTTCAGATACGAGGAGAGCAAACGGAAAAGTACTGCATTCCACAGCTACAGTCTCCTTAGGAATGTGGTCTTACTCCCTCTTCTGCAGCTGCAACGCCATAGATCAGACAGTTGAGAGGAAGCCTATGGTGGCACCTGTTTGTGAGGAACCAGGACAAGGGTCATATCTGGTGATGAGCTGCTTGCTGGCAAGTTCCTAGGCAAAGAAGGACATGCAGGTACATGTCTTCCCCTTCTTAGAAAACCACTTTCGCTGTCATGGGGATGTGGCTGCATGGACACTTTTCACCTAGCAACACCCTGGGCTCATCTCCAGCATTGAAAACCCACAGTCAACGGCGTTCAATCATACGGCTGGCTCACCCTGATGGCCCTTGTCTAACCTGGCCACGTTGATGGCCCCTTCTATAAACACGGCAGTCAGAGTACGTTTCTGTTCTCCTTACTGTCCTGACAGATGGAAACTCATCAAGGTAAGCATCAGCAGGCAGAGGGGACATAACCATCCCATAGTGAATGTGTCTGCACGGGGCCAAAGCTTGGGATGGATATAAGAGAGATATCACTGGCTTTCCACGGGGTCAGAAGAAAACGGGTCATCTCAGCTTTCTCCATGGTCTTACCTGGACAGAAGAACGCTTATTTTGTGGGAGTTCATATCCTACCAAGGTCAGTACGTGTCATTGACAAAAGGCAAAGTCCATCCAGGTGGAGTTCAAAAGGCCTTGTTTCTAGACCTGTGAAGAGCTACATGGCATCTTCAGACAGGCCAAGAGTTTTATCTCACCCCTTTGTCCACGAGGTACCCTCAGAGCGCAAATTAACCTCCCACGTAAAGACTGGGACAGTGAATTTGCACGTTCCTTTTTAAAATGCTGACTTTCACACTCAGACTTTGGTAACGCTGGTCAAGGCGCGTAGCCTCTCCACTCAAGCTTCCTTCTGGAAAATGAGTATAGTCAGTGATTTCAGTTACTGACAGATAGATGAGATAGGAAGGGCCCATGCTAATTCCGGGTACGTTGTCCCCAGTGATCTGTATGGAGCCTGACACGAAGGCGTTAAACTGCGAGCCTCCTGGTCTCTCTTCCCCTCTTAGGACACAGCTGGTCTTTTATTCCCAAATGATGGTGTCAGACATGAGGCCAGGCCAGCAGCAGTGTTATATGACCATCCTCTTCCAGGACTACGAGTCAATAAACTCTCTTCTTCATAAAGTATTCCATCTTGGGTATGTTGTTATAGCAACACAAGACAACCTAAGATAAGATCTTCTGTTTAATTTTTTTTTCAGATGGGACTGGAGCTCATCATTTGCAAATAGGGCACACACATACACACATATAAATGTGTATATATGCAATAGATATACCCTATATATGTATATTTGTATATATATTCCCTATATGTATGTCCTATGAGTGTATATATACCCTATATATGCATGTGTATAAGTCCTATTTATATGTATACATCACATATAAATGTATATATGCCATATATGTCCTATACGTATATGTGCCCTATTTACATGTATATGTGTGCCCTGTAAATGTGCATGTATGCCTTATATGTGCATATATATGCCCTATGCATGTAAATATATGCCTGGTATATATGTGTATATGCTATATATATGTAATTTGCTATATATAATCTTAAATATACAAAACTGCAGGTAAAATGGTTGTATAGGTTGATAGCTTTTAAAAATGTCCCTCATGGTTATAAAATCAGTAACTAGTAGACCCCACAAAGTAATCTTCTCCTCCTAGAAAGTGTGATTTTATGTGGTAATATTTTATGTATGATCTAACAAATAGAACTTGCCTGAAGATCAGAGTGCAGAGATAGCCACACTGGTTAGCCACAGAGGCCAGGCAGTGGTGGTGCACACCTTTACGTGATCCCAGCACTCGGGGAAGACAGAGGTAGGCAGATCTCTGTTAGTTCAAGGCCACCTTGGGTTACACGAAATTGATCCAGTCTAAAAGAGAAACAGAGCTCACACAAAGGTGATCCTAGCACCTGGGATTCCACTGATGTGGATGGGCGGGGCGGAGAGAGGAGTGTGAGGAGGAGAGCTCAGGGCAGTCTGAGGCAGCAGTCTGAGGATTCCCAGAGACAGGATTGTCCCTCAGTAGAGGTAAGAACTGGTAGCTGGCTCTTTCACTTCTCCGATCTTTCAGCTTTCACCCCCTGACAGCCAACGCTGGGTTTTTATTATTAATACCAATTAGATTTCACACTACAATTTTACATCTACTTCTGTACCTGTGTGCCTAGGGATGACAGTGACCTTCTAGACAGCCACCAACCCTCTCTGATCTCCCATCTCCTTCCAAGATGTCGGTATAGAAGGTGCCTAAGGTGTCCTTGTCACTTTGAACTTCAGTGCAGAGGGGACGCCAGGCTGCCTTTATACCTGGAAGCCCTCTGTGGACTCAGGCCACACACGCTTTCTGCCCCTGCATCCTGAACTAGGGAAAACCACCCCACCCCTCTCTTGTGCCTTTCCCTGTGTGCAGGACAAGAAGCAAGGCTCCTCGGTCATGTGACTGAACAGCATCAACAGCCAAGGCACAGGAGCGGGGACCACCTGCGCACACTCAGCCAGCAGCGGGTTTCAGGCATGGTCCACCGTGTCTGGAGAAAGTAAAAAGGCTGTTGTAGAGGGGACTTGAACTCTACCAACAGACTGCACTTCCTTTGTTCCAATTCCCAGAAGTCCTAGAAGAGAACGCTTTCTGCAAACTTTTTGGAGCTGGGAAGTTTTTGAGAAATCCGCTGGCTCACTCCCAGAGTGCGAAATGACATTTCGCTGTTTGAATCCCAGCCAGTTCAAAGGCTGCTGCTGCAGCAGCCACTCTCCATGTGGGGGTTCATTAAAGGAGCCGGCTTCTGCCTTTGTGTCCCTCCCCTTGCCCAGAGGCTTTGAACTCACTTGCCTGTTTTAGATTAGCTCCCGCACTTTTGCAAGAGACAACTGTCTCTCTCAGAACACGGTGTGCAGGGTTAGGCAGATTATCCAGAATTCAGGCTGGAAGCTGTGGTCCTCTGTCGAGTGTCCCTGGGATCTTATTTCCCTTCCTATTTCACTTGCTTTAAAACAAACCCTTTGAAGTCGACAGGTAGGTTCCTGAAAGCTCAGCTTGACTAATACTATTAGGGGACTCTTGCTAACAATGTCATCCCTACTTCAGATTAAATTATTGCAGTAATGTGTCCCGGGTCCTGTGATCTGTAATAAGGCTGTCTTCCCAGTAGAATATGAAAAAGTGGTTCGATGGGAACATCAAAGGGAAGATCATCTGTGTGTTCTCTTCATCTTGGACATTTTCAAGCGTCCCAGTATTGAGCCTGAAGCAGTGATTTCTAGAGGGGCAACACCATTAAGATGAGCCACCCAAACCTATCCCAGTATGGATTTGTTTCTATGCATGTGTGGGTACCCAGGTTTGTATGGGTGGGGGTGCCGATGTCGTGTGTGTGCATGGAAGCTGGAGGGCAACCTCAGGTGAGGGAGGGGCTCTTGTTGGCCTGAGCTCAGCAAGTAGGCTGCTCTGCCCAGCCATTGATTCCCTGAGATCCTCCTGCCTCTGCCTCCCTGGTTTGCGGATTATACACCCATAGCATCACACCCAGCTTTTCGTGTGAGTTCTGGAGACCAAGCTCAGGTCCTCACTTTGCAAGGCAAGAGCTTTATCAACGGAATCATCCCTCCAGTCCCACAGGTTTTCAAGCTACTGTTGACTGACTTTTTCCTATGGACACAGCACGGTGTTGCAGCATTAAAACAGAAGGTTATGATGACCCTTTAAAGATGAGGTCACTGGGGACTAAGAAGCCACAGGAGCAGTGCTAACAAGATAAGGTGACACAATGATGTCACAGGTGTTCACTCACCTAGAAGTGAATTAGCAGACCTGGGGATTGAAGAGTGAATAACCATAATCCCAGGGCCCCTTGCTTAACCCGTCTTTGTCTCTTTTTGTACCATGGATTGTTCTCCAGATTGTTCAAGTGGCCATGCTCTGGCTACCTCCTATGCTAACCCGGCTTCCATGATCTCAATGCTCACACCTATAATGCCAATCTTATATTCGGCCCATCAGTAAATAGACAGGACTGGCCATGGTAATGTAGCAGATCTGCTGATGAACAATTTTGTGTACACTTGCATGGGATGGTAGTGTTTCTATTTTGGTGGAGGGAGGAGCTGGCTCTTACTCCAATATGTCCATGCAACATTGTTCCCTCCCAAAGATGATGACTTAACTCCAGTGTGGTGGCACTTGCCCCAAATCCTGACATTCGGGAGGCTGAACGAGGTGGATCTTGAGTTCAAGGTCATCCAAGTGTATACAGTGTCTCAAAAACAATAAATGGCAACTTTTCACGGCAAGAGGCCACCCCTTATCTGTGTCCCCTTCTAGGCTTCCTTATAGAACATTCCACGGAACTTGCTGATTGATGGAATAAAGGGATAATGATAAAAACAGGAGAGTTGAGGAACAAACAAAAGATTACTAGTCCCAAGACTGCCTACAGGGTTTTTCAGAGTGAGCCTCTTGGCTCAGGCAGATGGGAGAGGATAAGTGTTTGCTCTGCCTGTGTTGTGGTGAGGGTTCCTCGGGATGAAGGCAGAGCCAATGATGAGACCTCAGAGGACAGCCAAGACAAAAATCAAAATTTAGCTTCAAGAAAGTGTACTTTGCGCCCCCGTGGTCACTTGCTTCAGCTATACCCTCCCAGGAGACCTGATCTGATGGCTTGGAATCCCATTCTGTTTATAGGACTCCGTTTTTCTCCTTACTTGTAGATTGACACAGACTTTTCCATTTCTTTTTGAGACAGCCCCTTAGCCTTACCGCGTAACTCTGACAAGCTTGGAACTCACTTTTTGACCCAGGGTGACTCTGAACTCAAATCCTCAGTCCCAGCCTTCCAGGAGCTGGGATTATAGGCATGCATCACCGTGTCAACTCTTCACCTGGATTAAGAGAACACAAGCTGACTGGATCCTGCAGGTCTGGATCTTGTGTCCGCCTGTGTTAGTTATGTCCCTGTTGCTGTGACAAAAAACAAAAAACAAAAAAACGAAGCACATCCAAAAGTGTTATGTAGGCTCATGGTTCCACAGGGAGAACCCATAATGGTGGGGATGTCATGGCCACAGGCAGAGAACCCAAGGTGGCGGGAGGAGTGGGTAGGTGACTGGTCATGTTTCACTTGCACACCGCAAGCAGAAAGTGAACAAGGCAGTGGTCGGCAAAGCCGTGAAACTGGAAAACCTGCCTCTAGTGACATGCTTTCCCCCAGGAAAGTCCCACATCCCAAGGAGTCCATAAATTCTTCAAATTGCACCACCAGCTAGGGGCCAGGTTTTGAAAGACGTAAGCCTGTCGGGGACAAGTCTCATTCAAACCGCCCTCCACTGTAACCTTGCCATCTTTGTCAAGTGACCCACACATCTAACCAGCAACCAGAACAGAGTCCACACCCTCTCTGCAGGCACTTTCTGTGTATTCCAATGGCCTTACAGTGGCCTCTTGACCTTGAGACAAAGAGGCCTTATATTAGTCACTTCTCTTATTTCTGTGGCAATCACCCGACCAGTACCAGTTCCAGGGAGGGACTGCTTACTTGGGGTCAGGTCCATGTAGCTGGAGTTTCTTTCCAGCCTGGTCCCGCAGCTGATTAACCCCAAATAAACACATGGATGCTGTGTTAATTATAAGACTGTTGGCCAACGAGTAGGCCATACTGGCTAGCTCTCCCTTAATTATTAACTCATAACTACTAATTTATGTATTTCTACATGGCCTTATTGTACCAGAGAATGCCTGGCACATTCTATCTTCCTGGTTCTACATGGCATCTCTCTCTGTGACTCTCCCTTTACCTTCCTGCCCAGCCTTCTCCTAGTCTGGTATCCCTGCCTATTTCTTCCTGCCTGGCCATTGGTCAATCAGCGTTTTATTCATCAGCCAATAAGAAAAACATATATACAGAAGGACGTCCCCCATCAGCCCCGACCCATGGACTGCTGCTGCCCACATCCGGGGTGCCCCACTCAGTCAGTCTTCTCTGGAAACACCCTCCCAGACTCACCCACGGTTGTACTTCACTGTTTCCTTAGCCAGCTGTCAACTTAACTGATTGCTCATCAAGATTAACACCGCCCTCCCCCCAGAAAGCTCCCGGACCACTTAGGCTAAATGGTTTACCAATACTGCAGGGCAGCTAAATTACATGAGAGTCAAAAGCATTCAACATCAAAAGGGTGACCTTATAATCTCAGCTACCTGAGAAGCTGAGACGTGAGGGTTGAGATACCACAGAAGCCTGCCTGGGTGACCGAGTGTGTTCAAGGCCAGCACCGGTAACTTAAGGAGAACATCTCAGATCTTTAAGAAGATTTTAAAAAGAGAAGCAAGTGGCAGTAGACTTGGTGATTGAGTGCTCGTCTGGCATGCACGAGACCCTAGGCTAGTCCTTTAAAAAGGAAAATAAGTGATACGAACAATCGTGATATAGAAGTTAAACACTTTGCATGTGGGTTAAGTACCCTTTATCTAAAGTGCCTGGGACTAGAAATATTTAGACTTCTGATTTCCCCATTGGGGAATGTTTGCATATACTTTAGCAGCCAAGCATGCTGCTCTTAAAGCCGAACCAGTGCTTCTCAGCCAGCATGCCAGCACACTGGAAATCGCCTATTTTGGAGCATTTCTGAGTGTAGGATTTTGGATGAAGGATATGCCACTTGGGCTGTAAAGCACAAAACAGTTTTGCATCTTACGAGCAGTCCTGCACTTACCCTGGCAGAAGGAAAAGTCCTATGAAGAGAGACTTGCCTCCCTGCATTCAGTTAGCAGACCACCGTGATTGGGGACGTCCTTCTGCGTATGTATAAATAAAGCACTGTTGGCCAAAAGGGAAGCAAGATAGGTGGGACTAGGAGTCTAGGAGGATTCTGGGAAATGTATTAACGAGAGTCGTCTCCAAGTGATCCTGCGTGAGACAGGATGGGTCAGGATGCCGTTCTCGGAACGATAAGCCCTTACAGAAATATATGTTAGTAATTATGGGTAGATAATTAAGTCAGAGCTAGCCAATGAGAAACAACAGCAAATGGCCAACAGCTTCATAAGTAATATAGTATCTCGTGTGTTATTTGGGGGCTAGGCGGCTGGCAGGAAGAATGCACGTTACACCACTGAAACGTCACCACTTGCCCTATGACTCCCACAATAAGGGGTGGGAAAGGCTCAACCTCTGTGTGAGAGCCTGAGAGGAACCTGTCACCAGATCACCTTGCAGGAGAGACTGGGGGCAAGAATGACAGGCCAGTGAGGGCATGGCCACACCTCGACCGGAGCCTCTTAGATATGTACGCTTCTTGACTTCTACTCTAACATAAACATCCTGTCAGTATCTCAAAGATGGACAAGAGATCTATTTCTTTATTCCTCTCCCTAATGTAGCCACCACTGAAAAACTTTTCTTCTTCTGGCTTTTACTAAAACTTTGCTTCCTAATTGGCATACTGCGGATGAGTAGCTGAGTTGAGCTTGTTAGCTTCCAGGAGCCAGGCTTTGGCCCTAAAATCTCTAGAAACAATCTGGTGAGCCAGCCAGGAGGCTCTCTGCTTCATTCCTTTTTTATTGGAAAAGAAGCTGAAAACAGAAAAGACAAATAAGTTACTCAGGTTTCAGATTAAAGAAGCGCACGAAACCCACACCTTTATTCCCATGTCTCCCTCAAGTTCCAAGCAACCACAACAGATACAAGGTAGAAAAAGGTGATTAATCCACAAAGACCAGCAGAGATGGCAATGAAAGAGGAAGCGGGGGACGGAGCAGGGAGGGTAGTAACTGAGCAGAGCACAGGCTAGCGAGTCCTCGGCTAGCATGTGACAGCAGCATATGACAGAACCAGGAAGTACCTGGATCCGTGCCCCAGAAGCCACAGAGTACGCTTTGGGTCATACGGTTGATGGAGAATGTGTAACACAAAACAATATGCCTGTTCCCCAAGTAATCCTCTTCCCATGTCACTTGGGAGAACCGGAACCTCACCTCCACTCCGGCTGGAGACTGGAGGTCAATTCCTGGCAAAACGTATGAAAGATGCTGTCTACACATTTGTGAGGGAACCAGGCATAATAACTGTGTACATCATCTAGAAAGCAGGATGAACTAACAGTAGAAATGGA